TGTTTACTGCACGCTCCTACCATGTGCTGACTTTACCAAAGGCCCAACACCTTAGAAGAAGCTAAGAGGATTCCTCTCTAAGTATCAGTTGAGGTGTTTTTGTGAAAATGTAGGCTGCACGTGAATGGAGTGAAAGGTAACAGACATCAAATGTAATCCAAGTCACGCCGTCTCTTGAGCATACACCTTTATAAAGCTGAATCAAGAAGTCATTAAGGTACAAATTTGGATTCTAGAGCAGTAATGGGTAGTAAGAGTTGAAAGTAATTTTCCTAGAAAAACAATCTGCTCCACTTCCTCATGTAAATATTTTATTATCAGTATCATAAAATATCTTCATGAATCATGATAGCTAATTCATGCACCGTTAGTTTTCATATAGCTAAACACAAACATTGTCATAAATAATAAGCTGATAGGTGGGTGAAGCACTTGGGGAGTACCGAGGGCTTAAAATGGGGTTTACAAATTACACTTCTCAGCGATAAAAAAACGTTGAGAGAAGGGTAAAATGTGACCTTGTAGGAGAAAGAGACGAGCCAGTGGTATGAACAGGCCATTTTCTTAGCCAGTAATGGAGACGGGCTATGAGAACTGCAAGGACCAAGATGCTTACGGGAAGGTCGCATCCATTTAGTGTGCAAGTATCACTGATTATCACTTTCCTGGGAAAAATACACTCGTGTTTAAGCCCATTTTCTAAGGTAGATGTTAAGGGAATTTAGATATTGGTGAGATGAACGGACCATAGATAAAGTGTATTTAAAAAGAAGACAGCAGAAGGAAAAAGGAGTAGATCTTAAGAATGTAGGTGAAAAAAATGGAAAGCAGTTAAGTCATGTCATATCATTTAAGGCAAGAGTGTGCCTCTAAGACTCGGTTTACAAATATGTCTAGGTACTTTATAAAAAGTTATAGATTTAGCTCTGTACTAGGTTGCTCGCCTAGCATGCTCTGTGGTAGGCTGTGTGCCTAGGCTGTATGAGGCTCTAGGTTTGATTCCCTGCACAAAGCAGGTGGAAAGGAACAAAAGCTTGTAGGTCAAACGCAAAAACTAACCTAACATAGCGATGGTCAGGACTGCTGCTTAAGTTAGGAAAAGCCAAACGATCTCCCAAAACATGGCTTGAAAAGGGATATCACTGAGGTGGTATTGTGTTCCCCAAAATATTGTGCACCCTAATAATCTTATCTGGGGTCATAGACTGAACAGCCACAATATTAAACATAGAGGATAGGCAGTGGTAGCACATGCCTTTAATCCTAGCATTCCAGAGGCAGAGATCCATGTGTTCAAGGATACTGCCAAGCATGGTGACTCATGCCTTTAATCCCAGAGAGTGGTGGTAGAAAGCAGAAAAGTATATAAGGCATGAGGAACAGAAACTAGAAGCATTTGGCTGGTTAAGCATTTGGCTGGTTAAGCTTTTGGGCTTTCGAGCAGCAGTTCAGCTGAGATTCATTCTGGATGAGAACTCAGAGGCTTCCAGTCTGAGGAAACAAGACCAGCTGAGGAACTGGCGAGGTAAGGTAGCTGTGGCTTGTTTTGTCTCTCTGATCTTCCCTTGTACACCCCAATACCTGGCTCAGGTTTGATTTTATTAATAAGACCTTCTAACAATTCATGCTACATATCACCCAGGAAATTAAGGGGCAAGCTGGAATCCCAGAAATGGAAGAGTCACTTGGAAAGGACTACGTAACAGAAATAGTTTGGGATAACTTAGAGTAGTGGTTCTCAACCTTCCCAATGCTGTGGCCCTTTAATACAGTTCCTCATGGTGTGGCGAACCCTTAACCATAAGATTATTTTTGTTGCTACTTTATAATTGTAATTTTACTGCTGTTATGAATCATAATGTAAATATCTGTGTTTTCTGATGGTCTTAGGTGGCCCCCGTGAAAGGATCATTCAGCTCCCCATGGGGTTGTGACCCACAGGTTGAGAAACACTGACTTAGAGTTTTATTTTGTTTGATTCAGCATTGGTAGTAGGAGAAAAGACTTTATACATTCATTAGTGACTGCAAGCAGGCTTCCACTGGCCAATGATTATTAAACATGTATTGATTACAAATTGCTTGGGAATGTTAGAAAACTATTAGAAATGTTCATATGTAATGAGAATAAAATTAGTATTTCTATATCATTACTCTAACCTCATCTACTTATTTTTATTTTTCCCATTTAGCATTAGATCTGTATAATCAGCTCCCTGAATTTTTAGCTATTATCATGTAAATATTAACATTTTATTTCCTCCCAATCCAAATCCCTTTCAAGGATCTGAACGGTGTCATGCAACCTCTGTTTTTTTTTTTCATCAGGCCTTTTTTGTCCCTTTAGTGAAGGAGAAATTCCCTGGACAGAAGGCCTAAGCATCTGCAGTGAGCGATCGCACGCTCAGAAGATCCCAGCTCAGTTGAAGGCCCTTCACTGTCATTTCAAAAGTCTTGGTAATCTTTGGACAAGGGACCCTACTTTTCATTTTTCTCTGGGTACCTCATCTATGGACCAAGTGCTTCCTGTCTTCTTTGAGGGACACCTTCCACTTCGGGTCTATACCTCCCTGTCATCCTCTTTGCCACCGTGGGAGCACACGCAGGATGCTGCTTCTTCCTTCTGCCATGTCTTATCTGTTACTCTACCCCACTTCTTTACATGGCTGCTGAATCTCTCCACCTTCAGGTTCAACCCAAAGGTCGGCTTCCCAAGAAGGACCTGGTTTTCCTTGAGTACAATGGCTCCTCTTATCATTCTATTGCCTTATCCTGCTTTTCAAAGGCACTCACTACATCCTGAATCATCTCCTTTCTTTGTTTCCTTGCTCAATATCACAGATTCTCTCCTCCTATGTAGACAGCAGCAGGAATGTCAGTAATCTTGTCTTTCCTGGGAGCAACCAACAAATCCTTAGAGCTAACACTAGAGACAGATTCTCTCCTTGAACTAGCTAAAGCTGGGGCTGATAGCTCAAGGCTGCCTACTTCTTATGAACCTCACCCCCAGCTTCACTTAAAAGCATATATACCTGAAGGAATTATGCTGCTCAAAAAATTTACTGTTCATTCCCATCTAAAGCTGAAGGTAAGCCCTGACCACTCCAAGGGGACCGATCAAAAAGGATGGAGGACTCTGAATCTGTGCTCTGGCCCTGAGATGAATATGATCTCTTACCACTCAGGAGTCTCTCTTAGCACCTTGAAAACCATTTCTCTGAAAGGTGATTATCAGGCAAGAAGGGACTGTGTCTCCCAGTCTCTAAGCGGACTTAGGTTAACTTCTCTAACTGCAGACACAGCTGGTCTCAGGCATCACACTGGCTGCCCTTTGTCACTTTTCCCTTGCCTTCTGCTTACCCTCACTTCCTGTTCCTTTCTCCCTTAGCCAGCAATCTTCCGTTAACACACTCAGTTACTTCTGGGCACCAAAGTGTACACACATAACCATTCACACATGCATACGGACTATCTACTGACTAGAATCTGTCCATACCACTTCAACTAGCACCTACCTCTAATAATGCCTGACACACTGCAAGAATTCAATATTAGTTGATTTAGTAAATAAATTAATAACTGCAATAAATGAACTTTCCAAACTTCCTTGGGAGCAATATTTTCTTGGTTAATGTTAGGCATCAAGATTATTTCATCCATTATAATTCAGTAACATTTTCTAGAAATTTCCTCTCCATATATGTCTTTATTGACTTAAAATAAGACACTAAGAATTGGAGAATGAAAAAAAAAGAATTGGAGAATGATATGTGCACATTTTATAAGTACAGCTGCCTTTGTATAGGTTTATGATCCAAAAAGTTACTTAATTCTCTAAACCAAAGAAAATACATAACTCTATGAATAAATTTCAGCGTGATTTGGGAGGAAGCTAAGGGATAGCTCCTGACAGAAAAGGAGCATAATCTCAGGACAAGCAGCTTTAGGTCAAAGGAACCACAATAACTGTATCCAGTGCTGGGGGGTGGGTAATGGGAAAATGAACACATGAGCAAATGTGGCAATATCATACGGTGGCAGAGATCACTTTTGGAATATGACTTGGGATCAAGTATTTTGGCTGTGAAGATACTCATATTGATTGACCTAGATGACCACTTCTAGTCATTAACTCAATGGAAACACAATTTATGTAACACATATAAAGTGCTGCTACCTTCTCAGTAATGCTTTTAAAGATGGCTTATAACACTAGGAGACTGAAGACCTAAATTCAAAGGTGGTTAGGCCAATTATAGTCATTCATTCAATTAATACTTTGCGATGGGAAGCTATTGTCTAAGGAAAAATGGGGGACAGCTATTTCCTACAAAGTCAAATGAAACACTCAGGATAAAAAAATATATTAACAGCAAGCATGGTAGTGCATGTCTTGAATCCTGGCACTCACGAAGTAGATGTAGGCAGATCTTTTTATGTTCAGACTAGTCCAATATACATAGTGAGCTCTAGGCCAGCCAGAGCTACATAGTGAGCTACATAGTTCTTTAAGAAAATTAAGTCAAAATACATATACATATATACGCATACTCAGATTTTATATAATTAGAACATGTAAAGCTATTAGAAGGTTAGTTTGTTCAAAAACTAAATCTATGAATGATATTTTTGATTTCTCTATTTTTCATTTTGATAATGTATAAGTTTTTTTCAGAAACTATCCTTTAAAAGACTAAGATAAACATGGTTGGTGTCAGCAAATAGTTTCATTTTCAACATAGGTAAGTCAGTGTCAGTTCTTAATTTGCTTAAAAGAAGTTAAGTTTAAAGTCAAGACACCTACTTAGGAAGTTAACAAATTACAACTGGAGTAATGAATTTTTCTTAATGAATTCAACACAAGAAGCACATATAAGTTAGAAGAAAACAAAAATATTACGACCAAACGTTCTCGAAAGAGGTTTTAAAACAAAGTTAAGTAAAAATGAAATGAATAAAAATGTCATCTTGGGTCAGTTGGCTCAAAAGCTCTGTGCTCACCGGGATGCAGTACTCCACCATCGGGTAATGTAATTTGTGGCCCTTTGCTGTTCTTCCCGAAAAGAAGCAGCTCTGACAGACATCATAATTGAAATGCTTCAGGCTTCTATACCTGCGGTGAAGAAGAGGGTGGTCGTCACTCCTGGTACTTCATCTAAACCAGTCACTTGGTAAGGCGCGCCGTTGGTTCAAATCAACAGTGCATTTACCACGAATAGAGAATTTTGTATTTCAGCATCAATTTAGAAGTGACAATTCATCTCTTCAATAATGGGGGTAGGAGGAACACTTTTGGAACTTATTTATTTATTGAAAAGGGTCCCAGGTCGTGGAGGAAGTAGAGACTTTGTTCATAAGTTTTATAAATTTTTTACTTAAAAAACTTTTTTCTTTATTCCTGAGAATTGCATGTCGGCATGCAATGAAATATGACAAACAGATGCAAATGTGTCTTAAGAGTCTTAAACATGCTTGCACATGTTTACACATGAGGAGAAGTCAAATATCAATGTCAGAAGATTCTGCATGATATCTGAATGTAGACAGAAAATGACAGAGAAAAGTTATGACAAGGAGTTTGATACACATAATTTTAAAATACCAATTAGATTACCAGTAAGAAATGAATATAAAATTCCTTCACAAGAGCATTGGTTCTTGCAATGAAAATTTTTACGTTTTGTTTAAAATAAACAGGAAAAAATACAGCAAGAAATACCCTGTAGGTGGCTGGAGAGACGGTTCAGCAGTTAGGAACACTAGCTGCTTTTCCAGAGGACACAGGTTTGATTTCCAGCACCCACACAACACTAGTCTGTAACTCTAGTACCAGGTCTTCTGTTACTCTCACACAGACATACAAGCAGGCAAAACACCAATGCACATAAAATTTAAAAAGAAAAAAAAAAAAGAAATACCCTGTAATCAGGAACATGTTAAATAAAATCCTGACTATGTAATGATTACATAATCTTGAAAGAAATGTTTAAAGCCTCTCATAGAAAAAACACTATACATTGATGTCTATTTGCAGAAACAACACTCTAAGTCTTACACTTCTATGGGGTCTAAATGTAAAACATCCCCCAGATCTTCCACTCAGGTAAGATGGCTGGTGGAACTAAGAAACATACATTATAGCTGTTCTAGAGGGGAAATATAAATGGTAACACTAGCAGAGTCCAAATGTAAGGGTTATGTAAGGCTAGCATTATAAACTATTGAGTGATGAAGGGCTTTTAAAATGATATGCAAAACTGTTTGCAAGTTATCTGGAGACAATCTATTTACCCCAGCTGCATTTATGGTCCTGGTTTGACGTATCACTTGTACTAACATCTTTCTACCTATTGGCATAGCTTGACAAGTATGATTGACATCGTCTTTGCTTAGTGGAATCCTGTTTCGTGCTGATGGCTCTTTCCTTTTCTTCATCAGTGAGAAACTCTTGCACTGTCAGCACATTTCAGCAATGCGCTCTGCTAAAAATACTGTTTCTCAGGCTTGCTTGCTGATGGTGGTAAGCAGGGCAATCCAGGATGAAGTCCTGGGCCAGGGTTCCCATTGGGATATTAAGGGACTGACGCAACTGGAAAGAACACTCATTTTCTCTCCTTACTAAAGATGGAAGTGACATCCAGAAGAGCCAATTTGCTGGCCTGAGGTCACTTTGAATGTGCAAGTTACAAGTTGGGGATAAGAGGGACTCTGAAGGTCAAGATGATCAAGCATCACCGGTCTTGGGTTATCTGTCTTTGCACTTCATTTACATGAAAGGAAATGAAGCCTCTCATTCATTCTGCTGCTGTTGAGTAGCTGTGGGTAATTATAACTGAGACAATTCTCAGCTTGGTAAACACCCTGTAGATCTAAGATTTTACTAAAACTCAATGTGAGGGGTGGAGAAATGGCTTATTTTAAGAGCACTGATTGCACTTCCAGAGGGCCCGGATTCAATTCCCAACACCCATATGATGGCTAACAATCATCTGTAACTCCAGTGCCGGGGATCTGACACCCCCTTCTGGCCTCCATGGCCATTTCATTATATGGCCTGTATGTATATACAGGCCATATAATGCATAGAAAATAAATAAACTGAGAAAAAAAATTAAATTCAATTTGGAAGTAATTAGTAGAAAATTTCAGCAGTTCACAAAAGTTCAGTACACAGGAGCTGCAGAGATGGTACAATGGGTTAAGAGTGCTTGCTGCTTTTCCAGAGGATCCAAATTGGGTCCCCAGCACTCATGTTGGATGGCTTATAACCAAGTGTCACTCCAGTTCCAGAGGATCTGACACCCTCTTCTGGCTTCCATGGGCACACACACAAACATGCACATACACATACAGACACATAAATAAAAATAAACCGTACACTTACACATGCATACTTCTCATGTCTCCACTTTACAGAAAAGTTCAATGTGACTTGTAGTCTTAGTGTATTTCTGTATCAGGCTGACCATAACTAATACGTTATGGGCAATAATAGAGCTTGGTGTTTGCTGTGTAAAGTACATACTGCTCTGGACACTTATGTGGTAACTATTCCTAATAGAAATCATAAACCCCAGGAAAAAAATGTAGTACAGTCTAGGAGCTACTCTAGGAGTCTCTAAGGCATCCTTACCTACACTCTAGTTCAATCTAGGAGGTCTAAGGCATCCTTACCCCAAGAGGAGGTGAAAGAAACAGGATGAACAAACACTCCACCCTGTGACAAACATGGTCCATAGGCCCTACATGGTCTCCTCCAAGGTCATAAGCCAATGACCTTGACTCAGTGAGAACACTACAAGATAGACTGGGCCAAGGAGGGCTGACTCAGCTAAGCATGAGGATCTGAGTTCAGAGCCCATATAAAAACACTGGGCCTAGTAGCATGCACCTGTAATCAGAGTACTGGGGAAGTGGAGGCAGGAAGATGCCTGGCGCTTGCTGTTTGGCCTAGCTGAATTCCAGCTCCAGGTCCAGTGAAAGCTCTATATGAAAAATAAGATGGAGAGTGACTGAGAAAGATGAAAACATTTGACATCAACCTCTGGTCTCCATGTACATACACACACATCCTAGAGTATGAACATGTACACTCACAGAGGAACAGGTGAGGGATGGAGAGAGAGACTATACTTTAGCAGCATTATTAATGGGCAGGTGTAAAGTAGGATTAATCACAACAAACTTAGCAGAGGTGACATGGAGTTATCTGATGACTTCTCATCATATTTTACATGCTGTCCCCATCTTACTAAGTTTGATCCCAAACAACGTGGAACAGCCAACAAATTTGATCAGGACTGTATGTATGTAATCTACAATGCAATTATCCTGCATGAACATTCCTATGGCCTCAGTAAAGAGTTATCCATAAAAAATTCCTGATTCTGGACTAAAGCATTATTAACAACTATAAGAACAAAAAGAAGTTTGCATGTAGATGATGAGAAGGAATGTCACTTTAGAAGGATGCACAATGCTGAGTACCACATGTACTCAAGAGGCAAACCACGAGACAGGAAATGGGGAGGAATGAGAAACATACCACGAGACCACACAAGAACAGAAACCAGTGAGTTCTGCTTTCCCTTATTGCACCTCACCTGAACCCAACAATCGGACATTCTTTGCAGATGTTGCATTTGGCCTGATGTTTTGCAGTCTCTGCAGCTGCCACCCGATGCAGAACCGGCAACCACACCATGGACTGTGGTTCCAAACGCATCCAGTCTATAAACTCCTTCACGCTGATCTCTGGCTTGTTGTTATTCTGGGGAAGAAACAGAAAGTGAAGAACAGCCCATCAGTGAAGCCACAGCAAGCGCTGCTGCTGCCAATCTGCACGAGAGGAAAGCCATGTGGCTCCAGTTCAGTGACGTCACAAATAGGTTCGTCAAGGTAAGAGAATTCTAGAAACTAAAATCAGAAAAATGCAGGGGAAAAAAGGAGTCATTTTCCATAAAAGAGTGTAGGAGGGAACAATTCCTTAATACTCAGATTTTATTTTTTATTTGTGTGTTTTTTAATGTGCATACCTACTGGTACACTTTCATGTATGTTCATAGGCATGCAGAGGTCAGTGGTCAATCTCAGGTTCCATTCCCAAGTACTGTCTACCTTGCTTTTGAGACAGGGCCTCTCATTAGCCTGGAGTTCATGGATAGGCTAGATTATCTGGCCATTGAGCCCCAAAGATCTTCCTGTCTCTGCCTCCTCGATGCTGGGATTACAAGCATGTGCCATGTACCACTGCACCAGACTTAAGTGGGTTGTGGGGATATAATCTCAGGTCCTCATGCTTATACAGACAGCCCTTTACAACTGAGCAATCTATCTAGCCCATCAATACTCAAAGAAAAAAGAAGGAAGCAAAATAGGAAAAAAAAAAAAAACAACCCACATAATTCCAGGCAACCTTTCCACATACATTCTTCAGTTCTGTCAAACTCACTTATCTAAGATGGTAAATGTATGAAGGGGAGGACTCCCTGGTAACCCAACAAAGCGGAAGACATTTACAAACGCAGAGTAGAGGGGGTCACTGCTTGTGACTTGCCCCTGTTCCGTCACACCACCACACTGGGGGCTGACTGGTACAAATATGCTTCACAGACTCTCCAAGCTTATCAGGATAGATCTCAATCATTTGTGTGAGAGAGCAGGGGTAAATTTCACCGACTGCCTCTTCCCTCTGTGGTTGAGGTCATTCTGTGCACTGACATATATGACTGTAAATCATATTTTAAAAAATCATGTAGTATTTTTTCTTTCTAAAATAAGAAAGAGGTCCATTATAAAATGTAATAACCCATGACATTGATTCTCCTCAAAGATACAGTGTGAGCATTTTTTTTTCTCAGCAGTGATAAATCATTGGCTATGCTTTGGAAAAATATCTGTAGGTTTCTAACTTTATGCATATGGATGACATCAGTAGCATTTATAAATGTGCTTATGCACAGTAAGCATTTAAAAAAGAAACTACAGTTCTTGCCCAGGTGAAAATTAGCAACTCAGATCACTGAAAACTATGTATATGACTCTTTCTGTAGGTATGTATACTCTTTAAGAAAAGATCTTCCCTACAGAGAACATTAAGGCATTTTTATTCATTCAATAAACAGACATGTTTTAAAGTCAATATAAGGTTCAATGTATTATGAAGGGATAAGCATCAGATGTCCATGTTCTTTTGAAGTACATGGGGCAAGCCCCTCTTCCACCAACAAGCAAGTGCTGTCAGAATTCCTTCGCTCAGCACATGTCAAATCTGTTGGAACCTTGCTCTTCAGGTTCTCGGCCTTTAGAACTGAGAAATACATCTCTGTTGTTCATAAGCCATCCAGTTCGTACATTCTGCTGTAGCAGCATGAGCAGCCTAAGATTGGATATAAGGTATGTGATAGGCACAACTTGTCTTCATGAAGCGTGGGTGTGCAAGGAAGAGGCAATACTAAACAACTAATTACACAATTCAGTATGATGTCCTACTGTAGTGAACATGAGGAAGGAGAGGACATGAAGGCAGGGAGAGTATCCTCATCTGATAGGGTTTGAGGAGGACATTCAGAGGACTCAAGAGCCAAGTCAACATGGAAAGACAGAATAGGACAGGCAGAGAAGAGAGCGTGTGTAGAGAAAAGGAGAGCATTCCAAACAGAAGACACATTTAGACATGGGAGGGTGTGGAAGCAGGAATCAGGGCATGAAGTGAGTATGATGGAAAGCTGAGAACAAGCCGATGAATGATAATAATTGAAGAACAGACCCAGGGGCATTGGAATTCAGACATCTCATTTCAATTTCTACTTCATGAAAAAGATACATATCTCTATCCAGGTTTTACTATTCTTTGAATCCAACATGCCTTAAGAAACAAAATATCCACTTAAAGGGCTGGTACCCACTCCCCACTATTTGATTCTAGTCCAACAAACTGATTCGCTTCTTGGAAGCATCTTTAAGTCTCTTTCTCAACACATCCTACACACCCTTGATGCTCATGCTTACCTGCTGGAAGCAGCTTCGAACACTGGGCTCAATGTTACTGCCCCCAAAAGCTGCTACTTCCCCTAGCTGCCGAGGGATCTGGATGGCATCATGAAGTAGCAGGCCAAGCTGCCGCTGGTCGCACATCTCTGTTGGCCCTGCCACCTCCTTAAAGAGACCTACAAAGAGAGAGAACAAGACATTACTGTCTACCCAATCAAAGTGTTATTTAAAACATATCTTCGGTGATACGGATTGAACTATGTAAACTTAAAAACAAAACAACACAAAAAAACGTGGAGGGACACGATGGAGCTCAGATTTCTGTTGTCTTAATCTGCTAGCTGTGATCAGAACCACATGACCCAGGTGTCTAAGAATAATCTGATTTTACTTGTCAATACATATAATCAGAAGTATCTTTTTAAATACCACAATAAATGTATATCAGTTAGTTTTATGGTCTTTGTAAAATATCCCCTTAAGAAAGAGAATGTGGAAAAACAAAGCTTCACTTATGATTTGATAAAGGACATAGTTTATAAAGTATACCTTTACATTTTATCAATTGATTTACCAACTTTTGTGTTCACTCACAAACACAATACTATATAAACATGTATTTCGCCTTCTTTTAGGTATGTCTATGTTCATATTTACTTTATATTGCAAATATAAAAATATAAGGAGGCTTAGTTCTTCATTTTAGGAATTTACTAGCCATATAAGCTATTTTTGTTTTATTCTATGTAATGAAACATGTTTTTTCAATTTCAAGACTTAAAAAATGTTTGTATCCTTTGCTGTTCTTATGCTTAAACAAAAACAGTGTTTTGTTTTGTTTTGTTTTCCCCTAAGTTTCTTAAATCAACAACATTAAAACCCCTCTTCCCAGGATGTATATCTTAGATCCACTATTGGTAACATTTTGAGGATCACAATGATTATAAGATCCCCATTCAAGAAGCTAATGAAGTGAAGGAAGTCAGTTTTTCAACAGGGAGATGCAGCTAATAAAAAGCAATCCCTCCGTTACAGAAATTGACACATTTGGAAGGTGTTTTCAAGTCTAACGCTCCAAGAGACATGCTGTCTGAACGCTCTTCATGTGGTGGTAAGAACAGAAGAAAGAGGAGTAAATACTTGGGAGCTTCTACAAAACTATCATCAACAACATCCGATAAATGAATAGCAGATAAAAATGTCATGCTCCTCTTGTCAAAGGGGAAGGATGCCAGCGCTAACAGTGTCAACAGTAGAGTTCCAAGCTGAAGCATACTGAGTGATATTGACACAGTAATTACAATGAGATACAGCTTCAATTATAAGCACACGAGGGGAAAGCAAATTCATTTGAGATAAATTTAACTTTTTGTTATCACTTGTTCACTTGGATTTTATTAGCACTCCAATTGTTTCATCATTAAAAAAAAAAAGACTATCACACTCGCAAAACATTGACCCAGAATTCTTATAATGATGCTTATTGAGCATCTATGTACACATGCAATGGTCTTTACGGAAATGCGCATTGTTAAGAGTATCAAATCTGCCCAACTGTCTTCCTTGGGCACACAGCTATGCTGCTATGCCACTAAGAAGGTAAGATTACTCACAGATGCTAGAGAAGGAAGTGTCACTAAGTACAGTTCTATGTTCTTATTATTACAGTGAGACACAAAAAGCAGTATGAGGATGCAAGAATGGGCCATAACTTGCTTAATTTAAAAAACAACCATCAAGAGGCACACTGGAATAAATCAACCCAGGGGAGATGCAAAGAGCTCTCCAAAAGGTGCTTGGTGATTGTGCTTCTGCTGAAGCCGGCAAGCTCGTGGCCATCTGCATTGAATGCCAAATCGACTCCAGAGCCACTCACATTAAGTCACAAGTCATAAGTACCAGCAGGGTGGAGACTTCTGACTCCAGCCACCACAAAACCTGTTTTCCTATGGCTGGCTCGTGCCAGTGCCATTGAGTCTGAAGAGCAATTTGTCTTGAATATTAATTCTGACAAAGAAAGTAATCATGAAGAGATGTTCTCACAACACTGGGGAAATCAAATGTGGAATCAGTGTTACTAAGGGTTTCAATATAAGAAGCAAAACTGAAACTCAGAACATTGCCAGAGTCTCAATATTGAGGGAAAGACTTAGATTAAAGAGTTAACCCAAGAGATTTCTTATTTAATTATGTCTTAAAGTGGCATCCATCGTGGGTTACATTAAATAGGAACTTGCAATACTTCCCTTCTTCTTGGGCTTCTGCCTCCTTACCCAATCTGAGCATTTAATGTTGTTTTGCAGAAAATGCAAATCTTGAGCTTGAGTTTGCATTCATTTTAGTGTCCACTCAGCACTATGATGTAACTGTTACTTTTAAAGCCCCTAGTCTTCCAAGGAGCATATGAAATCCCTGAATCACAGATGATTAGAAAGAAAAATCTTTCTAATTTTGGAACGCTGATTTTTCGGTTATTCTTTCCTTTCTCAGTCATTTTAGAAATGCCAAGTTCTCAGCTTTGGAGATCATATCTTTTCCTGGTAATGATGAAGACTCCTGAAGTTCTAAACAAAGGGCCACCAACCAAATTTTATATAAGGCTATTTTTTTTTCTTTTCTCTACATGGCTTGCAGGGCTCATACAGAATCAGAGACTCCCACCTCCTGATCCCACAGTAAGTTTATGCTCTATGCAAATCCACATCTCTTCCCTTAACATTTCTGTCAAATTATGTAAGAAAATCATGCTTTCGGGTTCTAGGCTTCACACTCAAAATCAAAAAATCTAACAGTAATCCCTTAAAAGTACATGATTTTGAACGCAGCATGCTTTTAGAGAGATGAAATTTAGCTAAGTAATAAGATCAATGACCAAATACCTTCATTTGGGGAAAAAGTTGGTTTTCTTGATTCTGGGGGTGGGACCCAGGGCCTTGTGCATGCTTAGCATGTACTGGACCACTGAGCTATTAATAGACCCCATTACTCCCATCCTTCCCTGTACCCATCTTTTGTCTTTTGGTGTCTTCCTATTCATGAATTATCTTCCATCCTCTCCTCCAAATACACAGACTCATCTGCACAGAATCATCTGGAAGTGGACGTGGCAGTAACAAGTTACTTACCGTTTATGGACAAGTTAAACTAAAAGACAGTTACCATGGTAATGAGTTTGGAGACATACGGGGATGGGGATCATTTATTTGACCACCGATTTCTTTGGCAACTTGTAATATATTATCTCAACTTCCTTTCAAGGCTGCAATCATTGGCTTCATCTTTCACCCTCTGAAATGCAGCTCAGTGCACCAGGAAATAGAAGTAACACTACTTCTGGCTAGAAATACTCAAGGGGATCAAGGCATCTACCTAATGACACTTGGTCACTAGGTGGGAGAGGGGTCAGTGCAGGTCTCCCTGTCTCTCAAGCACATCTCTCGAGCATGCAAAGATTTATTTCAGTAGTGGAGAGCTAAAAGGGCACTGCTGGTTTACTCAATGACTACAAACAACCAAAATAAAACTAAAAGCATTTATCATTTCACAAGGCTGAAACTATAAAGTGTAACTATTTAGGATTAATGCTAGTAAAAGTTTTAGTTCCTCTTACTTTTCTTTGCCTTTTCTTTAAAGCATTGAACATAAACATAAGAGAAAAAAAGAAGAGGGGAAAAAGGGGGTTGGAGTCATAAAAGTGGAGTCTATAGATGAAACACTGACATGTCTATCCACAATGGCTTTTAAAAAATGCACATGGTAGTCCCACTCCCCGAAAAAAAAAAGTTCCTTCTAGTTCAAGCCCAATATTTTAATGGCTCACAGCCTTTCACTAGACTAGATTCTTGACTTGTTTTGGCATTAATTTGCTCAGCTTAAAAAAAAAAAAGGAAATTGTGAACCCTACATTATAGAGGGAATATTCTAAGAATTAAATGAGATGCACATTTATGCATGGTTCTTACACCATCAAGTCACCTCTCCTGTGACCCTACAATTATTAGCTTCTCACATTGCACAAACCTGATTCTCTTTGCCCAAACTGGTATGTGTATATTAAGGTTCTCAAAAATGGAAACCAAAATTATAGCAAGCCATATAAACTCAGTCGTTGGTGAATGGATATTATTATCGGAAGTGTTATGCTACAGGAGGTCTTACATACATCTGTATTTTTCTTCTAAGAGGCCTTTGGAGAGAGACATCAGTCCAATCTTCAGACTCTGAACTCTAATTTTTCCAGTCCGACCCCTGAAATTATAAGATGGTTGTATGCATTTAAAACTATATGCAATATGCTAAATGTCACTTTCTTGAGAGCAAACAATTTTTCTATTTAGTTTTAACAATTACTGTCAAACCTATACCACAACTTCATGACATAGTTTAACAACGGTCTTTAAAGAAGTCCAGAAAAATACACTGAAGTCATTTTACACACAACATACAGCACAAGAACAAATTATAGGAATATAAAAACAGCAAGCATATAACCAAAATGATCTCACTTTCAAAAATACTATAAATAAAATATGTTGATTATAAATGCAAAATCAATACATAAAACCTACATGGACTCAGTGTTTGTAAAACTTTAAAACTTGCTGTCTTCGTATACTTTGATCTTTGTGAATGTAGTCTACAAATCATTGCAATTTCAATAGTGAATGATTTCAAATAGGCAGGTGTGAAATCTGTATTAGGGGAAGCATGAAATTGTAATTAAAAAGGGGATGTATTAATTAATCAGCACTAGGAAATACTTTCACACTAAGCTAGTGAGACACCATTTCAATTTCACTTATGAATTGACTAAAAGAAAGATTTATTTTATCTGTAAAAGCAGGGCTGTCTTTATTCCAATGTCTATCAGAGTATTAGTATGCTGTTAAAAAAGAGCTGGTCACGGTAGGAGACACCAAAGTTGGGAAAAGCACCAAAAAAATAATAAGACACCACAGTCTTTGCAGTGGAACAACACACAGTCCAATAAAAAGCCTTATCACTGTAGTTATTGTCTCATAACTCCATTATTAGTTTTCAGTTTAGGTTCATACTACAAATTTTCTTAGGAAAGTTTTCAAGGCACACCTATAGTACACTTAAAACCAATACACAAATGTTCACATTATTATACGGACACATAAGATTTAGTGTGGTAGTTTCAATGAGAAATGTTCCCGTTAGTATTTGAAGTTGGTTCCTAATTGGTGGTGCTGTTGGGGAGGTTTAGGAGGTGTGGTGTTGGAATGGGAATGCTCCCCATAGGCTCAGATGTTTGGCTTCTTGGTCACCACTTGGTGGCTGTTTGGGGAGGTTGAGGAGGTGTGGTGTTGGAATGGGAATGCTCCCCATAGGCTCAGATGTTTGGCTTCTTGGTCACCACTTGGTGGCTGTTTGGGTAGGTTGAGGAGGTGTGGAGTTGGAATGGGAATACTCCCCATAGGCTCAGATGTTTGGATTCTTGGTCACCACTTGGTAGCTGTTTGGGGAGGCTTAGGAGGTATGGCCTTGTTGGAGGAGGTTATGTTATTGGGTGTGGACTCACTCTGCTTGCTACTCTAGCCATCATACTGTAGCCATGCCTGCCGCTTTCCCATGATGGCTCTGAACTCTTGTACCCCTGGAACTGCAAGCCCAAATAAACTCTTCCTTCTATAAGCTGCCTTGGCCATGGTGTTTTATGACAGCAATAGAAGAGTAACTACTACGCTTTGTAATCTACAGTATTTTAAAAATATACATAAATATCTGTAACGTGGGTGTAGTGTGAAAGGATCTCACTGCTAATTACCTTCAACTCTTGATTTGCTGGTGTTTTGCTAGTAATGCTCATTAATAGTCTTCCATTCTAAATTGATAAATGACCAAGTAAATGTCTATACATATACCATGATACAAAACATATAAATGTTCTTTTAAAAAAGAAAGCATGCTTAAATTATAGCTGAGTGTGGTAACAACATCTGTACTCTCAGCACTTGAGGCAGAGACCAAAAAATTAAATAAAATGAAATTATAAGTTCTAGGCCAGACTAGTCACAAGAAATAACAGCCAATTCAAAAAAATCCTGAGCCATCATGTTTAACTTAATTTTTTTAGGATTTTCAAATTATCACAGGAAATAGACAATGTTTATTCTCTTCTTTTCAAGAGATGGGAAGTGTTTATCCTCTGAACACAGACAATTGACTTGTAGAAAATAATAAAGACTATTGAATGAATGTACTAAGGGACTAGTACATGAAAGCAGTCCTTTAAGGGATCAGAATGGTACCTGTAGAACCCAACCTCCAGTCTACTGGGAAAATATAAGAGAGATACATCATCAGGAAGACAAGTCAATCATCTATCCAATCCACCACCGAAAGTTATAAAGACTTCCTGTAATTGATGATCCCAGAATTATTCTATGAACTTTAGGGACCAAGAAAAACCAGAGGACATGATTCTTACTCAATAAACTCACACACTAGCTAAGGGAGTAAGATAAGAGACTGACTAGAGAATGCACAATATCAACCCGTATGTGGAAATGAAAAATGAAGCACAAGGTCACTGTGGTTGGTAGGCTCTTGGGAGCACCTTGAGCAGTCCACAGCTTCTCACAGCTAATGAAGCCCAAATCAAGGCCTGCAGCTGGAGCTCAGTGGCAACATGCTTGCATCGCATGGAGGAAGCTCTAGGTTCAATCCCTAGTATTGCCCTCCCTCTTCTAAGAAAGAAGTCGACAGTCAGACATGGGAGCAAAAAGACACAGGCATGGGTGCAAACATACCCCCTCCAAAACTTAGGGTGGGGTGAGCATTTTTATTCGGGCCCACTGGTGATTAATCTGTGCATACATGGGAACACACCATAGACAGTTTTGATGTTCAGTACAATATCTAATCAGAGATGGATCTCGGAGCCAATAAAATGCATGATGGAGTGTTTTAGCCCAATAGCTAAGTATTCGGTTCCCCTGACAGTTTTTGTAAGTAACTTCTGAAATTAGTTTAACTGTGAAGTTAAGTGCCTTTAAAATTATATTCATCTCAGAATAGTAGGGAAATTTGACTTACTATAACAAATGAAGCTAATATTCTCTATAGAGAAAAAAAATGTCTGAACCAAGTGTTCCAGACTATTGCTCTGAAGCATGATTTAAACAGTTTTGATTTCCATTAAATCTAGAAGGAAGCTTGTGAAATTAAGACTTTTTAACCTGGGAAGATGAAGACTGAGGGAAGCTGTGAATTCATAAGTAGAATCAATTTGATAGTTATAGTTTCTAAAGGCCTTTTTACACATATTAGCTTATTTGCCCTTTACACTCACCTTTTGTGTGGTAAGCTATGCAGATTTCTTACCTCGACTTTTTGGATGAGAAATTGAGATGCCAAAGTTAAGTGGTTGCCAAGTCACATAGCAACCAGAGCAGAAAATGTATAATATAAAGAGAATCTGGGTACATGTGAGAACTTGAAAGTTTACTTGATTTATAATGTGTGATTGGCCTGGCTATAGCAATGTGATAAGAATATCCATGCGACTAGGAAAAAAAAAACCCTGCAAATTAGTCCCCTATGATTACTTTGTAACAGGTGGTTACAGATAAACTCTGGCATCTCACTGTGTTGGTTTTTCAATCAGTAAAAGAGGGAAGAATGGAAAGATCGTATCTCATCTCTAAGCCACACTTAGATTAGAATTCTTTGATCTCTGTTTGCATGACTCATCATTTCAAGTTGCAGTTGAGAAGGTCTGTCCTGGTTGCATCATACTGCAATAAATAGAATAGTTGAAAATACACAACAATGCTATAATTTTTATCTGAAGTGGTCCCCAAGGCTCATGTGTTAAAGGCTTAGTCTTTCACGCGATGCTCTTGGGAGGTAGTAGAAACTTTGAGAGCGAGAGGCTAGTGGAAGGCCTCTGAGAAGCAAACTCTTCAAGGAGCTAACAGGAATGTCCTCTTTCTTGCACTTCTTGCTCATCAAATGAACAGTTTTGTTTCCCACCTGGTTGGGTTACCTCACCTACAGCAAGGGGCAAGTCAGTCATGGGCTGAAACATCTGACATGACTATCCAAAGTATGCCTCCCTCTGTGTAAGCTGATCTCATCAGCTATTTATGATAGTGTTGGGTTACTGACTAGAATGAATGAATGAATGAATGAATGAATGAATGAATGAATGATGATGTGAGAATAAGTAAATCAATGCAACTCTTTCAAGTAAATCAATGCAACTCTTTCAAGAAGTCTGCTCATCTGTCTTAGGTTTACACTGTCCTTTTCCTAAGAAACTTTTTCTCTACCCTAACACCTGTGCTCAAGGTAAATCTCTGTCGAAACATTTTCTTAAAGAACAATAACTCTGTTACATAAAACTTAAAAAAAATAGCTGAACGTGGGCATCATTTTTAAGTTCAAAGACTTCCTAAGATCCTGTAATGTCCAGGATCCCTACTCTGAAAGAAGTAAATTATAGTTTATCAGATTCACTCAGAGTACCACTGCTTGAAATAGAGTTAACAGCCATTGCTTAGATAAATGAATAAGCCACACACAGTAGAGAAACTTAGGCTGTCAACTCTAGGCGTCAGAGATTATTGCCTGCAGAGTAACTCATTTTTCCTTGGCTTAATTCATTTACTCCAAGAACCCAGCTGACCCAGAAGGGTGATTGATATATTTCACTGGCATAAAAGGGAGGTAAGTCTTGCAGGCTTTTTCTCCATTAAAATGGAACAAGGATACCTTTTGAGTCATTATCTTTGAAGTTAAAAAAAAAAAACTGGATCAGTGTGGCATTTTCATATGTTCACATCTGACAGTCAGAAATGGAATTATGCCAACATTTAACTCCCAGAAATGAATCACAACATTTCACATACTTGTGAGCCCTACTCCCTTGTTCTAGATATGAGTCCATTCTATGTGTACATGTTCTATAGCAAATGTGTCCATTCTGAGCATAGCTGTGCTCCTCTGACATTCATACACCAAAGTTCTAACTCCTTGTATCTTAGAACACTGCTATTCTCACCAACTGCATCTTTAAGGAGTCAGGTAAAATGAGGTTGGAAGAGCAGACCATAGTCCAGTGTGCCTGGCATGCCTGTAGGAAAAAAGATCAGGCATATAACAGAAGAGAGCCAGTGAAAAGCCAACGAGAGACATTCTGGAGAAAACAACAACAAACCAGTCAGCCCAGACCACACCTTGATCTCAGGCTTTTAGCCTTTACAAACACCAGGAAATGATGTTGAGGCAACCCAGCCTACCAGTTTTATCTCAGCAGTCTAGAAATCTAACGTTGTCACAGCCGGACACTGCTGCGGGGGAGGAGTGTTCTCCATAAAATGTGATCAAGATGTCTTTCTCAATGCTATTTCACAGGGTCGGATGAAGTCCCCCAAGTGTTCTAACTTAGCTTTCTTCCTGGGATGTGAATTCATTTTATAGGTTACTATACAGAAAACATTGAAATAACCAGCTATTTTTTTTTGTGAATTTACTGTAGAAAAGATCTCCTTTGAGACTTTAAAACATTTAAGTAAATTAATGAGATATTAATGCAAACATTAATATTGTACCCTAGGAGAATTAAAACTTTGTATTAAAAGGCAACATATAAAAAGACACCATACAGCAATGTATTGCCGTAAACCCTATATTCTTTCTAGCAACCGAGTCTCATCCTCAGGCGTGCTCAAGCACACAATGACTACCTTATTTTTTTAAAAAAAGTCTTTATGGTATTTAGATAAAGGAATTTTCTAATGAAAAAAGTAAACAAAGTTATAGATAAACTGTGTCTAAAGCTATCATCATCATCGCCATCATTTATTTCTTATACAGAATCAGTCAGTGGCTTAACATGTGCATTTATGAGTAACATCTATCTTCCTCTTCTTCAAATCGAAGTCTGACAAATGCAAATTTCCCATAGCTAGTTGATGGGAACTAACTTTTAGGATTGGGGAGAAAAGCACCAGTTTTCCTTTTCTCCTTCGTCTTTGCATACTTCAACCCCCTACCAGAAGAATAAATAATTCTCAGTATTTCCGAAATGCCAGCTCACAGCAACTCTTCATAACTGATTGGCGCACAAAAAATACATTGTCAAAATCAGAAGGGTCATGGAAATGGGAGGATGAACTGTGCTGGAAGGTGAGGGTGCTCAACAGCAGGGTGAGAAACAGTTCAATTACACACGTCAGTAGCCTATAGCATCAATTATTTAAAAGCATCTTGTACAAACATAACCACAATGGCAATGTACCTAAGATCTGAAGACATATGGAGTCTTATTCATTGCTGTCCAAACTGCTCTCAAGTCATCATACAAATATTCTTATACGGCAAGAAATCATTTTAATTCATAGTAAATGTAAGTTTTTGTTTTTCTTTTGAAAGTAGTAAGGAACAAGGAGAAAGGAATCAGACTAGGTTAGGCTTCCCTAGCTGCTCCTTGACAAAGGGTGCTACTTTCACAGCCTTCCTTGACTGTCATGAAAGAACAGTTAGGTGTTCTTTCTTACTCTACTATTAGTTAGGATCTAAATGACTTCAAAAATCATTTACTCTAAACAATCAAAATAAATCTTTCCACTGGGAAAATGATTATGAAAGTACACTTTCAAAAATTCACTTTAGGGCCTGGGATGTAGCTCAGTGGTAAAATGTTTATCTAGCATGTGCAAGCTTGTTCTTGGGTTAGAACTCTAGTATCACCCAATAACGATGATGATAAAGATAATGACGATGACAAAGATGATGAGGATGATGATACTGCCGAGTTTATTATCACCCTGTTTCACTCACTTATGGTCATTTAATGGATAAATTACAAACTTACGTGTCATATACATTGAGCAACCAGTTGAGACACATATCCACGCAGAGCGGAACATTGACCAGGTCCTTATGCAATTGTTCAAGGCCATCATAGGTGGTGGTCAGACAGTTGATGACATCTGGGACACTCAGGAGCTGATCATTTTGGTTCAGTTTGTGCTGCTTGAAAACTTCGTTTGTTGTGTTCAGCTCTAACAGATCCACTAATCGGATGAGGAGAAAGAATAAGGGACAGTCATTGCCTTATATAACCACACAGAAGCACAAGCAATTGTATTCTCTAGCATTTAGCCGGAATGTTCAACTCATGAGCTGATGCTTCTCAGTTAACTTCAGCTGTTAATGGGATAAACAACACTTCCATTCTTTCATTTCCATTATCTTCTTCTATCTACCTTCATGCTTTTCCATCTAAACTCTGCAGCTTCTGGAGCTTTCCCCATTTTTTTTTTTTTTTTGACCTTTGAATTCCTTCTTTTTTTGGCATTCCTGTTTTTAGGTTTTTTGTGCTTTTCAAAATAGAAAGGTCTAAGTCTTTAGGATTATTTCAAACATCAGAACACTTCAAGTTAACACACTGCTCACCTCATCTTCACTTGTGAAGACAGTCAGCTCCCCACTTCCCACCTATCCCTTTTTGCTAATTTTTTTTTACATATTCTACATTTATTTTTAAGTGATACTCATTGAAACACCAAAGATGCACATATTGATGAGGAACTCCATGCTTTCAACACATGTCTATTGTAGTTGGAGTTATCTCCAGACCCGCCTGGGACGACAGCCACTCAGACTCAAATAAACACACAGATGCTTATATTACTTATAAACTGTATAAGCTGTGGCAGGCTTCTTGCTATCTGTTCTTATATCTTAAATTAACCCATTTTGATTCATCTATAAGTTGCCACGTTGCTCGTGGCTTACCGGTATCTTAACATCTGTTTCTCATCGTGGCAGCTAGCAGCGTCTCTCCGCCTCAGCCTTTCACTTTCTCGAATTCTCCTTTCTCTTTTTCCTGCCTATACTTCCTGTCTGGCTACTGGCCAATCAGCGTTTTATCAATCAATCATAGCAACATATATTCACAGCATACAGGATATCCCACAGCAGTCTACACCATGTTATGTTCAAATCAGGGTAACCCATCATCTCCTCAAACATTTATCATTTTTGTAGGCAAAACATTCAAAATCCTTTATTCTAGCTCTTTGAAATGTAAAGCAACTTTTGTTCCCTGTGGTCACAACAGCACACTCAAATCTTAGTTCCAATTACAACCTAGTGTCCTTCAACCAGCCAATCTTCATACCACTGTCAAACTAATCATTCCTTAACAGTTTTTGTAAATGTATATAGTGGACATTAAAAAGTCACTGAAGATAGTTTAAAAAAATGAAGCAAATAAACAAACAAAAAGAACCAGGTTTTATAGAAAATTAACAGCTTTTTAGTACCCAAAGAGAATCAAATTAGAATTATCATGAACAACCAAAACTGGCCCAAATTAGGCTACTTCCCATGCTATTTTGCCTTTTAGACAACCTGTAGCTAAGATGGATTCACACGGGCTCACTGATCTTCACATATTTGTTTCCATCTTTATTCTTCATTTATAAATCACAGATGGCTGGCAAGGCCAGTGCTAGAGCATTTAGAGTGTGCAAGGAACTCCTTCTTAAGATGCATCTGGGTAATACTATTAACAGGGAACCCCTTCTTTAGATATATCCATCCGGGTAACACTCCTAACAGGAAGGACAACAACATCTTCGGGAACAATGTACAAACATCTGTAAGAGCAGACACAGGCTAAGAATTTGTGGCAGGAAATGCTGTAAGGGAAGTATTTTGCATTTTCCATTTCTCTACCTTTAGGGTGTTGTAACATTTGCATAAACTCAGCAAGAGCTGTTGTGGATGGGACTCAAGTCTAACACACAAGGCATGTATGTTTTATATATACCTTATGTATGTAGCACGAAGTATTTTTAAAGATTTATCGATGTTCATTTCTGTATCTATGTGTGTCTGTATGTGTATGGGAATGTCCTTGAGGATCAGAAGAAGGCATTCCATCTTCTGAAGCTAGAGTTGCCACTTGAAGTGGGTGCTGGGAATCAAACCCTGTTCCTCCAAAAGAGCAGGAAACATTGTGCTGAGTCATCTCTCTAGCCCCCATAAAGTATTTTTAATATGACTGACTCATCACCTAAGGTCAGATAGGCAATTCTGCTACCAAGTCAGCAACCACAAACTTCAGATACTGTAGTGTTCAGATTACAGATGTCTGGATTAGGAAGACTTTGTAGAAGGACCACCTGAAAAGACTGTCTGAGAGGTGAAATTTGAAATGGGCCTCAAAAGACAAGGAAGATAAGATGTAAGAGATCCATGGAGGCAAGGTAGAAGGAGGTATTCAAAAGCAGTATCTTCCAGGAGGAGATGTTGCTAAGACAGTCTAGGAGTCGACTAGGGAAAATAACTGCAGCATGTGTGACACATACTTGACCTGTGGTCTTACTGAGGCAGACACTCTACCCAAAGCCCCCAGCAAAAAAAAAAAAAAAAAAAAAAAAGAAGAAGAGATTGTTATTAAAAATTAACTAAGTTACTCCTCGGCTAACTGCAAATGAAACCAAGCAGACCCTCAAACTACAATTTATCTACTGGATGTGGAAATGACCGAATTCTCAACATACGGGCACGGGAAATGACAGACTAGCACTAATTTAAAGTTTTCTCATGGAAATTACCATTATGCAAAATGTATGCTCTATCTTCATATTCCAATTGATAGCACTGAAAAAATACCTAAGTGGGACTTAAAACATTTAAGTAACTACTTCCTTGCCTAATGAATAAACTATCCTTAGCCCCCCCATATGACATATTTTGACAATTAGCCCAAATGAATGAACAGTTTCCTTTGTATCTGTGTGGTTGCAGCTATTGACTAACTACTAATTTTGAATTTTACGGACATTTATGAAATGTGTCTATGCCAACTGTTTAAATAACAAAGGATGATTTTTTTCCAAGTTGTCTACAGTAGAATGGAACTATGCTAAAATGACATAGACAAATACAATGCCTACAATATCTCCATAGGGAAGACTTTAAAAAGACTCAAGCAGGAGATATAAGAAGCCTGATTAAGATCCAGTCCTTTTCTCTTAGATGTCAACATTGCTAAATGTACGCTGCTAACAAAAATAATTTGCATAAGCATTCCATGAGCTAGAAATGGCACCAAAGAATAATAATAAGTGACCTGGGAATTATCTAGCATTTTCATTATCATTCCCCCCTCCTCATTTCTTGGTACTATACATGGTTTTCAATTCTGAACCTCTGGGGAGCACTAGCAAAACCCATTCTTTATAGCATTTGAAAAAGGGACATGCTTAATAAGGGACAGTAGATGGAGAATCACAGTTCTCTCCACAGATACAAAGAAATATATTCAATGGCTGCCAGAATGCTAAGATTACAGAATTCCAACACTAATTACGCCGGCCACACAACATACAGTGACAATAGACGAAATTTCAAAAAGACTGTTTCCTGGATCAGTCCACCCTTCACTTAGTTCAGAAAAGCCTCCCTTGTTCCCTACTCTGGGGCTCAGACAGTAATTTGCCACATCCCACGGATGATCATGTCTTCAATTTCCAGTGATTTACTCTGACACTCTCACTGAGTGCCTAAGCCAAGCATGCATCTTCCTGAAGTGTGTCACAGTGAGGTACCTTTTAAAGAACAGACTACATTTAAATCATGAGAAATTATGATTTTATCTTTTCAGAGGGAGAAAAATGACAACCCAGTCATGCGATAAATGGAACAAACAGGCCACTCATTTTCTAACCAAGTTTCAGACTTTTATAAATTCTCAAATATGAAGCACAGGGGGTCAAACAGAGATGCATCATTATCTCCTTTCTTGAGGGGTGGGGGTGTGTGGAAACTAATAAAAACAGAAGTAACACTGTTGAGCCCCTGACCTGGGACTTCAGGCATCTCTCTAGGTCTTGGCTATGGGTTCTAGCCTTCTTAGCACCCACCCATGTCCTCTTTCCCAGGCACTGAGAAACATTTCTGCACTCAAGCTTTCAGGCTTGGATTGTTAATCTGCAGGAATGATGTTTCCCTCATTTCACAACACTGACATCTCTTTAGATGATTCCCATTCCTGCCTCTTGTCTCCTGGTGAACACCAACCCATCCCCATTGTTCAGTTCTCTACTCAAGAGCTATAACCATTCTCTTTCAGAAACCTCTACCTTGGTGTGTTCCAAATCAAAATCTCACTTACTTCTGAATCTGGTCTACAAATCTTTAGCTTTCCTAACACCCTCCATCCTTCATCCTTCACAATTTACCAACTATCAAGCCCTATGCAAACCAGTTGCCCCTCAGGCAATCCTCTGGATCTAGAATTTCATCTCTTTTCCCACTACACCCAGTCAGCTCAGCCTCCATCTTCTTTGGCAAGAGCCATCTACCCATCCTATTCTCTCTGCTCTTCGTGCTAAAATACTCTTTAGCATACACACCCTCTACTTGGTACCATCTTTGGATTCTCTCAAAGTAGAAAATGGTTGTATACTCCCTTAGGCTATACAGAAAAATTATCCAAACTTAAAAGCTAGTACATGAGGATCAAAACACTAATTAGAAATTAGTAATGGTTTCAAGTCACCATGCATCTCTTTTCCTGTAACTAGGGAGGTAGAAACAGGAGGAACACAAGTTCAAGGCCAACTTAAGCAACATAGTGAGTTCCAGGCTATCCTAGGACAGTAAGAGCCTCTCTTAATAAGTAATGTAAGTAGTAATAGTTAATAATAATACCTCCAAATGAGAAATTTCACAAAAAAAATTTCAATGACTCCTGAACTGACCAAAATGGAATTTAAGGAAACTATACTGGACAAAGAACTAAGTTCTTCCATCACACGACATTCCCTGACCTGTACCCACACTTTGGATTGGATGCATCTGTCTTCCCTGTTCTTATCTCAGATTAGTGCCCACACGATTAAATCCAAGGTGGCTTTGATGGTTGAGTAAATACATCTGTTAGGCAAGGATACTGTTCTTCTATACGCTAAAGGGGCTGCTTCCCTCTTAGCCAGTGTTTCCCCTTATTTCTCTGCCAGGGCCTGCTACAAAATGTCCTCGTCAACATACAAATATATATGCATATATAATATATAAAATGCATAATCTGACTTGAAGAAAATGATAAAAATACACAGTTCGTTACACATCAAAGAACATACTAGTATCATATGTAATTATGACACATCATGACCACGGGAGTAATCTCTAACCTTTGCATTTATTTTCAGTTCTTAAAAGCAGATGTGTATCATAAATAGAACAGCCTTTCATTCTGCAGGGCTTTCAACTATATGTGAATGGAATTCAACTATACAAATTTCTTCTGTCATTTGCCTTTTTCCACTTAGTTTTACAACTCTCACATGCGCCATGCTGATGCTAAGGGTTAGCTCATTCAGTTTTTTGCTGCTGTACAGTAACATATTTTGAATAAGATAAATTAATAAAGTTTACTTCTACAAAGCATGGCTCTAAATCTTGTACGTGTCTTCTGGCGCACACCTATGTCATCTTCAAATTCAAATCATTTATTTAGTATGATCTAAGTGACTCCAGCTTTATACCAGAAATTATAGGAGGGCTCACATAGAGAAAAACACAGACTCTTACTTCTCATAAAAATGTAATTCATTTGGAAAGGCAGACAATAAGTATGTAAAAAGAATATTAAGAATTACAATTCTGACAGTGTGTCTTTGTGTCTGAGACAAGTACCATAAAAAATAATGCCACAAAAAAAGAACAATGGAATGGATGAGATGGAGTTACCAGGAGCCAGTGAAAAGGAGCCATGTGCCTAAAACCACAGCTGGCACCCTGAGACCCACACAGTAGCCATAAGGAGACTGCAAATATGAAGAGCGGGAACCAGAGCTTTTAGGCAGGAGAAACAGGCTAAAACTTGCTAGGTCAGATATCAATTAGAACTTAACGGGAGCAAAGTACAAGAAGTGGACAGAGAGCAGAGACGGGAAAGGGCAAGGCCACTGCATTGTAAGGGAAGTGTTGTCATCTGTGGGAGGAAGAACGCTGTGTCTACCTGCATGCTCTCTCTGGATTTGAGTGTTGCAATGAGTCCCCTGCCTCGCTTTATTTATACCTGGGGGATCTTGGAGCCAAACAAATGAATAAGGAATGGCCGAACGATGAAAAATGTGCTCTTTTTCTGCCGGCAAGAGAGCAATATGCTGGGTGGGGACAGGCACGAAATGAGAGGTGACCATGACCCAAAAGCCATGTGTGTAGAGACAGGTCAACCTCCTAACATACAACTATCATGCAAGGCAAGCAGGTGAAAAACAGTCATAGGTCATCATAAAATACTGGAAAAGCCGGGTAGTGGTGGCGCACGCCTTTAATCCCAGCACTCGGGAGGCAGAGGCAGGTGGATTTCTGTGAGTTCGAGGCCAGTCTGGACTACAGAGTGAGATCCAGGAAAGGCGCAAAGCTACACAGAGAAACCCTGTCTCAAAAAACCAAAATAAATAAATAAAATAAAATACTGGAAAAATTAGGAGCTGGTGGGATGAGCATGTAAATTGTTCTACAAGAGAGAAAATTTTGACAGTATCAGGTAGGAATGAAGGATGACAGACTTACAGAAGATGAGCCAGGGCTTTTCAAGTAAACAGAAGATGAGAGAGGAAGAAATTGATTTGGTTGAAGTGGTAAATGTGACAAGTGGTATTCAGGCTCCAGACTAGAGCTCTGTGGTGGCCAGAGGCAGCAGGAAAGTAGAAGCCAGCTACCCAGACAGATAGCAGCTATTAACAGAGGGTAGAGAACAAGCATCGATGGAATTTTCCAATTCTCTCCATCTTTAAAGTACATACAAATGTTACTTTGCATAATCATATCTAGCAAGCCTTCAATGTTCCTTGGTTAATCATCCAAGCAAAGACAGAATCCGGAAAGCATAAATCAATACTCTATTTACAAGAATTCACATGTCTGCTTACTTTTTAATATTCTAGGGACAAAAATAGCCTTTGGGTAAAGTGACCGCCAGAGAATACCCCTATGAGCATGCCCTCCACAGGAAAAATTCATTAATGACACTAAATGACTTCTGTCACATTTAAAAGAAAACAGAATTTCCATCAGTTTGATGCTTCCAGTTACTAGACAGATCAGCAATGTGACTGCTTAGCATTTCTCTGTCACATGACCATACTGAGTCAAACAGTTTGGAATCCTACAGTCTTAAGTGGACAAAAAGGACTTCACAGGCAACAACCTACTACTTTGATTCAATGATTTAGTCTTTCAAAATTGGGTGGCAGTATAATTTTTGGAAACACTTTCCCTGGGTTTTGATTAATTTTGTGCTCAAAATGCAAGTGGCATTGCTCATCTGTTTTGCTAGTGCACGCTGGTGGGGCCAATCATGAAGCATTTATAGAAACACAGCTAGCTCCTTGAATGAGAGGCCCTGAAAATCAGATTGACTCTGCAAATACACCACCCTCTTCATTTGTCTTTGTCTTAACACTAATAACAACAAAGGCAACCCCCCAAAACAAGGTGATTCACGTAGAGATGATAACTCACAACAGAGTGCTTTTTGCAGCCTTCGAATTTTGATTGCTGTGCGGTAGGCAGAGAAACGTACATTATTCAGATCCGCTGAAATGGAAAAGGGAACAAGTTAAAAGCCTTCTTAATTATTTTACTTATACTGAATGCCAAGAATGAACATATTTGCTTATTTTGGATCATGGAAAAATGTGTCTGTTCACAATAAAAAGAAAAAATCCTACTAAATCTCACATCAATTTATGAATGCAATCAGATGATTGTTCACACCATATTGGAATAAATTGCAAGACAGTCTTCTGCAGAGAACTCTAGAAAAGCATTTTCAAGTAGGTGGTGGGTTTTGAACCAACCCCGCACCCCACCCTGTGCTGAATTGTTTGAACTCAAGGAGGAGGCTGAAAAAGCCTGAGAGGTAAGGGCTGACCTCCATTTCCCCATCTCCTTTTCTTTTCTGCCCTAAAACAAGTCACAGAAAAAAATAGAATCCTTTTCCCTGAACAAATCATAGAAACTTGCATGCCTCTTTCCCAAAACAAGTCATAAAAACTGAGGTCACTCCGACCTTCTCTATCCCCTGTTGAAGCCATTCTGTGGTGCGTGTCCTGCCCTACACTTGGAGGAAGAGGATGATGCACAGAGAAGCCAGGCAGAACCTGGATACACCGGCTAAGCTGGCCTCTCCTTCTATCTATTTACCAGTAGACCATCTTGCTTAGTCAAAGCAGACTTCTAACTGGTTTCATCAAACCTCTACAAGAGCATAAAGTTTTCTTGCTTTTCATATTTCTTTCATAACACAAAGCTTTGAACCGATAATTTTACACTGCTTTTCTAGTTAATCTGCCCTCTGTTGCAGGAGCGTCCGTCAGCCATGACCCTTGGCGATCATGAGGGTAGGCAAAGGTTTCCTGACCTTCTGCTCTATGGAGGAAAAGAAAGGAGGTGTGGTTAGTGCTGGGGACTATCTGACTGATCAACAGGGTTTCCTTCAGAGTCGTCTGCCCCCAGGACGATCAGTCTTCTGTCAACTGCCAGTCCACCTCAGTAGTCTTGAGGCTATCCTTCTGTGTTCTACCTTGATCAATTTGCTTTGCTGCTCTTTCATAGATCTAGTTGAAACAACCCTATAATCAATATTCCTAGCCTGGAACCAGTGGATATTACAATTTTTTTTCTCTGTTTCCTAAAGACAGATTAGCAGAGCTAACAGGAGGAAAACTCAAAGATCATCAGTGTTTCCCCCTCTCAATCTCTAAATGAAGGAAAGCTGTGTTTTTTTCTCCCGTTATTGTTCTGTGGCCCCAAAGACCAAATAAGAGTACCTGCAGGAACCCGGCGTTTAAAGAGAAAAAAGAAGTGTATGTGCCCGTTCTGGAAACTGGAAGGGGTGCAGCACAGGCTGTCACTCTTTTTCCTTGAGAATCGGTCAACTCCCCAGGTTTCCCAAGGAGTAAACGTTCAAGACCACTGAGTCAACTGAAGAAGGCATCTGAGTCATCAGCTGAAAGACACTGCCTACTGACCACTAGCCCAAGAGCAGAGCTCTTGCGTTTTTCTATCAAAATAAGTGTGGTTTATGACTTAAAAATGATATTAAATAAGTTCATTGGATAAAAAAATTCCCATGTAGAAAGCAAAAAGAAGATTTAAATCAGTAAATTGGAGGTTATTAAATTGCTACTGGATTTTCCTGTTTTGTTTTGTTTTTTAAGCAAGAAAAGCTGAACTATGAGTCAACATTAACAGGAGGGAGGTGAGACCCTACAACAATGACATTTCTTCTGGAAACTGAAGTCTTTCTGGCTGCTACCCTTCCAAACTGCATATCTCTTAAGAAGAAAGGCAATGTTTGTTGTGTGTGTTGACCTTAGGAGTTCACCTGCCTTTAAATTTGGGACTCTTGTTGTAACATGTCATGGCACTGTCTTGTCATGCCACAGCAGGAGTCTTTCATCCATACATGAGGAGCAGGTGAGTAGCTGGATGTCTTTTTATGAATACACAGTCCTGGACTCTGTAGGCCCATTCATCACTACTAAATAAAGCAACACTCACCGAGGGATTGGAAGAGTTCAGTCATTTTAGGATGATCCCAACAAGTGGTCTGTGTTTGATGGCTGGGGGAAAACAAAACATTTGAACATAAACAACAGACTACAAAATACAACATAGGCTACAGCTCCTAAAATCACAAATATATTTTTTAAATATGCAAAAAATTTGTCCCCATAAAGGATCATTCAGAAACCCAGTGCACAATGAGTATTCAATATTCCAGGTATGCGTAATAGGGGCTGGGGAGATGACTTAGAGGGAAAAGTGGTGGCCATACAAGTATACAGATGAAAACTCAGACACCTAGTAGCCACATGAGCTCTGGGTGGGTTTGGAAGACCACTTATAGCCCTAGCACAGGGGAGAGAGACAGGAGATGTCTGAAGCAAACTGGCAAGCTAGACTTTAGTTCTAGTGAGACATCCTGCTTCAATATATAAGGTCTTGAGAAGAGTCAAGGAAGATACCTGATATCAACCTCTGACCTCTGCATGTACGTGTGTGCACACGCACACAGACATACATACACACATACACACTCATCTGTTCCCACACACATGGGAACATTAAGAAACACTCATACCACACAGACATATATATGAAAAGTACTCTGAATAATCATTTTTTTTATTTTGTGCAACTGTATTATGAAAAGATAGATAAAATTCTGCTTTCTCTATCCAAACAGCAATTACAACTACAAGCCAAAACCCAGCCATGAAGAACGACTGCCAGGGACCCTCGGGCACTGAGCTGGGTGTGGCCAAATCAATGTGGGCTCCGGAACAATTTCTCTGCTGTGAGGCAGATGGCGATTTTCCTTCAGAGCAAACGCTCTGACAGCAGAAGGGCTGTGAAGAGTCACCGCGTTATGAAGAGTTAGCACAGTTTAAGAGCCCTAATCCAATTTCTAAAGACCAGAGAAATGAAGACTCTAAATCTGAATACCATCTCCTCGCCCTGCCATCGACTGAGCCTCCCTCCTTTTTAACCCTGGTTCTTCTCTCCCTCCTCGTTCATGCTTGCTCGCTCTCCTCTCCCTACACACCCAGGTCCCCAGCCTCTCCTTAGGTCAGTGTTCCTCTCTTGCCATTTAAATTCTACCTCCATCTTCCTAGTTTTATTCAATAACCAGTACAATTTATTCAGAAAACACATCTTTATTTTATTGCTATAATTCATATATTAGTTGGAAATCTTAAAGGAAGAATATGGTAGCAAAACAAATAACAGTAGGACTTAAATTAGGTGTGTATATGTATGTGTGTGTATATGTGAGAGTGTGTGTGTGTGTGTGTGTGTGTGACTGTAAGCATGTGTGTGTGTATGTGCATAAGTGTAAGTTAAAATGCTCATATCTTTGATAGGTTATGCTTAAAAATAGTTTAATGTCCCTTATCTTGGCCATAACAGAGTAATAACATCTAATAGGCCTCAAAAGACTTCTTAGTTGCCCCTTCCTTCTTTTTTTTTTTTTTTTTTTTTTTTTTTTGGTTTTTCGAGACAGGGTTTCTCTGTGTAGCTTTGCACCTTTCCTGGAACTCGCTTTGGAGACCAGGCTGGCCTCGAACTCACAGAGATCCGCCTGGCTCTGCCTCCCGAGTGCTGGGATTAAAGGCGTGCGCCACCACCGCCTGGCGCCCCTTCCTTCTTAAGAAACTGTTTAGAAAGCTATGGGAAATCACACGGTACATGAGAGATGATATTAAAATATTCATAAAAACATTTAAGAGAAATCATTGCTTTTACAACCTGTGTAATACATCAAAAAAGTAGTTTGCATTCCTGGGCAAAGAACAGAATCATTGTTCTGTATACCTGGGTAACAGAATGCCCCAGTAATTCATAATGGGTTTCAATAAATAAATAGTAGGCTAGATGTCCCGAGGATCTCAGACAGAATAACTCTATGATGGGAAGATGTTTTAAAACCTGGTGGAAGGCTGTCTGGCTGCTCTACTCTTGAGTTTAACTTCAGTGCAATGGGGCAAGTTTTTCCACTTGACATGAACACCAGCAACACTCCGCTATCCCTATAGTACGCCATACTGTACTAAACATTATGGGCAAGTGTAAGTCGTCTGGCCCTAAAAAAAGGACTGCTCATAGTACATTCCTGAGCTTGGCAGAAACGCATCTCTCAGCCACTAATCAGAGTTAAGGAATAGTTTGGTGAAAATGCAGTACAATTCCATTGTGCTACCATGGGCTGCCAATCTTAGACAACCAAGACTTAATTGTTATTTTTCCTTTCCTCTCTTTCAAGCAATTTCTGTCCTCATGGCAATACTACTGTCCAAAAATATACAACCCATTGTAATAAGACAAGCCAAGGTTCATGGACCAAACTATAGCTCTCAGCAATGCAGAGTTGAGCATCACACTTAAATATTACGTATGTATTCTCTAGAGCTACAGAGGTGGACCTTCCCCTGGGACGACCCTATGTAATAGGGCAAAATAAGTGAACCGTTGAGAATTCCAAAGCATGCCGCTAACGGTTCTGAAGTGAAGGCACCATGTCCTGGGAGCTGAAGGAGTACACACATTTGGCAAACAGATGGAGGGAGGGGAAGAGAGTCTCCTTTGTGAATTCAATACCAGTTGATTCATTAGGCAGAACTGCAAAGACTGAAAGTAAACACAGCCTCTGGTTACAAATGTAAAGCTGTGGTTTACAAAACAACAGTTTAAAAAAAAAAAGGAGTAGACATGGGTCGTTTTTTTTTTTCCCCCATTCTTTCATTTTTAAGTACAGAAAGAGGGTCAGAACAAAATCCACACTGAACATAAAGGCTGCAAGTATTTGGACAGCTGTAGACTGCTTGGCAGGCAACTCTTGCCAAAACACTTCCAGCTCGCCCAGAGCAAGCAACCAAAACAGAACTAGAGCGGTGTCTTCCCTCAAAGTAACAGTGGCATTGGAGCAATCTGAGGGCTGGTGTGGAGAGGAGCTCTGCTGCAGCCAGAGACACTATCATGCCACACTCTGATGTTGTTATCAAAAATCCGACTTCAAAAAAATGCAACTGGTTCAGGAAGCCAAGCCAGAATAAAATGAAAACTTAAAAATCCACATGAATGTTTAAGTTCAAAAATCGCAGGAAGCCCCGGATAGTGGGAGTGGTGAGCTCCTCCTAGGGTGTCCAGCTACCTCCATTTTGCCGTTGTAGGAGAAATAACAACCCAACTGTGGAGGCCTTTGATGAGGAAAACTCTACTGGGTACCCTGTGAAACCTACATTATTTCTGCGCCATTTTAAGTGTTGTAAACTGAAGAACAGTATTCATCAGGTCAGACTTGTCCACAGAAATGCACATCGTGCCTCCTGAAATGTAATGGATTATTGTCTCACAGAGACTGATTGCTTTGTCAACTTTGTTTCTCTGAGTAAACTCATCTTCATATCCATTAACCCACTCTACAGCGATGTGGCTCTCTGCCTCCTTGGGGTCTGTTGTAACTTCTTTCTGACTCTCACACTAATTAGTTATGAAAGATGATCAGACAGGCATGCTGTCGAAACACTGACATACAGCCAAATACTGCTAGCGTCTATCCAATGTTATGCTTCCAACTGGATCTCATGAGGTCTATTATTGATCATTTCATTCCCGTTATAAACACAAAGGCATACAAGAACAAATGCTGGTTTGTGAGTGAGCTGATTAAAGTTGCTTGTTCTTCTGTTTACATAAAAGTCAAGATTTTACTTGCTTTGAAAACTGTCCTTCAACATGTGAGACAGTCTTTCTTGAGGCTATATTCTAGTGCTTTGGTGTAGTGATTATAAGTGACAATTTTACCTTGACAATTTACTCTTATTCTAGTAGGGACAAGGCACAGCTTACACATTCTATACCTTTAAATGAAATAGGTTAAGGAGTAGTAGAGGCTTCTATCTTGAGAATGCTATTATTGAGAATATGTAATTTCATAAGCCATAGAAGGTAAAATGCAAATCATGTAAGAAAGTTTATGAACAAATGAAACACAAAAATGCTGTATCCTAACATTGCAAAAAGGTCACGAACCAACCAACGGCATAGTCCATCTTTGTTGGCTTGTTTGATAGATAAATGGGAATGATAGGGATTTCTGGGCAAACTCCTGCAGTGGGAAGATAATTTTTAAGCCTCTTTGTCCTTAACAGTGTAGCTTCACATTCCCTACCTGAAAATTCAAACTGAATATGGAAGGTATTTCTCTTGTTCAAAGGCTGACAGGCGGCTAAATCTACCTACCTGTTACTATCTATCCAATTTTACAGCTGAACAGGATCCCCCAAGGTTTGCTAGTGACTGTTGTTGTTTTATTCTGATTATAAATATAGATGCACACTAGAGCAAAAACTAACGGAGACCAATTCATGGCAAACACAAATGGAAGAGAAACAGCTACATGTGAGGCCAGTACCAGGACAATCTCAGAGAAAGCAAGATTTCTTCTTTGCTGGACCAAGTGAAAGATAAAGGGCTTGCTTGTTCAGGATAAATATTATTAATCAATTAAATAATCGGATATTACTCCAGTGAGCAAACTGTGTGTGAGAAGCTCCGTCCACATGATGATGCTGTTTGGGATTTAGATGACTGTGATCACTGTGTTGCAGACGTGGGAGAGGAGAGTGGAAGGCACTTGGATAACTTGCCGAGGGCCACAGGCCTGGAACAGAACGAGGATCTGAGCACAGATGGTCTGACTCAAGCCCGAGTTCTTGATATGGAAGTGGATTTGCAGAATTAAGGTTTTTTAAAGTATTTCTTGATGAATCCATCCAGATTTGAGGCGGCAGTCCATCATTACAATCACTCCAAACAACTTTACCACCCTGCCTTTCCTCTCACCCCTGGCAAATCTCAGGCCTGGAGCTGCTCAATCACTCTGCCTTTTCTGAACCCAACCAGCTGTGGCTGAATAAGATGGAGAAAAGCACTCGAGAGACAGACCGCTGCTACTTTAAATATTTGATTCCAAGTCTTAAACATCTGGCTACTGACAAGTGTACCAGTGTCTCTAAACTCCAAGGCCATAACCCCCTTCCTTCCTCCTCCTTCTTTC